TGACTGGCTATGGGTAAATAACAGGACAGCCCGGGCTCTATAAACTTGGATGGCAACTGGTCCACCGCAGAAAGAAATGGCAACCAACTGAGGGAAAAATCTGCCTAGTCAAGCATGTATCGAAAGATAGATGATCGCCTAAGCGTGTATCACACATGGTACGTAATTGAGTATGGGTAAATATCAGGACAGCCCGCGTTTTATAATCTTGGATGGCAACTGGTCTACCGCAGAAAGAAAAGGCAACATACTGCGGGAAAAACAATCTGCTTCGTCAGTCATTTATCGAAAGATACATGATCGCCTAAGCGTGTATCACTTATAGCACATAACTGAGTTGCATAATCCCAAAGGAATCTTTACAACAGTTCCCAAACAACCTTACTATTTCTTATTTCTTTAATCATTTAAAATATCAGTAGTAGTCTTCCGGTGTCCTCTCTGACTTGGTCTTCCTTTCTAACTCTGCGAGTCTAGCGTGTGATCATTTGCTAGCGAAATTGAGGGATCTATACACAAAACTTCGTTACATAACCAAACCAGTTTAGCCCCTTATCTCTAATCAGAGTAATACTAATCATATGAAATTATATCAATTTCCACATCAAGGCTTTTCCTTACAGCAACGATTCCGATTTGTTCTCTTATATTTTCACAGTTATGGCTCTATTTCAGTTGTTTTCGAAGACTCAGAAGCTCTGTATGTCAGTTTTTCTAAGTCCCCAAGATTAGAAAATTGGCATGGGGATAATCAGAGCAAAGAAGCTGCTAGATTTATGACGGAATATCTTTTGTGTCCCAGATCCTTTCCTTCACTATTCCAAAAGTTCGGTTAGGATGTCTGATCTACTGAAAAATGTGTAAACGATTATGATATGATCAGGAAATCCAAAGCTATAGAGATAAAAAGGTTCTGTCATAGAAGCAGTAAGAGTCTATAGGCGGTTTGACGGAATCAAACTAAACAATGGTGAATAAAACAGATCAGAGAATAATATGGAAAAAGCGGACAAAACAGGATCTTCACAATGCGAAAAAACGTAAGAAATCGGCAAACATTTTTATATTTGTATTCACCTAATATTGGGCGCATGAGTCTCTCAATGTAGAGGGTTAACGAATAAAGTTGGTGCAAGGGTGGAAAAGGAGGAAGTATAGTGTGAATTTCATGAATATATTTTTGCTAATGTTTACCCAGTAAAAAACCTCAAAACCTCTGAAAATGTGATCGTAAAAAAAGCAAAAAGGGAAGTACATGGAATTAAGTAGAAAGGATAAATGTTAACCCTAGAATGAAGATGTCAAGATTTGTAGTTAATTGCAAAACACCTGACAGGTGTATGTCCCACATAGCAGCAGTTCTTGGGAAGAAACTGTTCGAAAGTCGATTACTTCTTACTAATGAAATACGAAAGGGATTGGGAATGCTTCACATTTGTGTACGTGGAATAGCGAGTCCCAGTTGTAAAGGTCTCTCTTGGTGAGTGTAAGGAATGTCTCTCGTCAGAAGAGATGCCATAGAAATTTAGGATAGATCATGATTGAAACGAGACGTGATGAGGTAGAGATTGTAATAATCGGGGAACTGTTATGCAAATTAGGAGTTTCTGTGGAAGTAATTGTCTGAATGGAACTTCATCTTTCCCAATGGAATACGAAGGGAATGAGGATTAGGCTAACCTGTGCAGGTATCATGGCGGATCCGAGATCGAAAGGTCCGTACTGGTTGGATTAAGGAATAAAGCGCGTAGAAGATCTACCATGAATCTTGTGATATATTAGCTAGAGGCTAGCAGGGTTTCATTTGTTTGAAAGTGAGTGGGGATGACACATCGCCCAGAAATCCGTATAAAGCCTTTAGAACTCTGTAATGGCTGGATAGAAAAGACTGGAGGATACCAACCCAGATATGGCAGCGATACTCGATGTTTGGTTAGAATTGACTCTTGTTAAGTAGAACCTAGCAGACTGGGTTAGGTACACGAAAACGGCATCCTTAGTAGGGGATTGTGAGATCCACGATATCTCGTGTGAGCTTGAGTCCTTATAGACGCTCAAATTCTCATTGAAGATACAACTGTTCATCATTACTGGATAAAACCGTCTTCTCAGGGATGATGAAACGTTAAGATACAGTGAAAGCTAATGTCAAAGGATAGATCAGCTGCCAGCCTCTGCGCATCCAGATTTTGGGAAATGCACCCTTAAATCATGGAGTTGTCTGCATGAATAATTTTTAATTCTCTGTGAATGTTTGTAAGACCAAAGAGAGTGTCTGGGGTGACCAATGCAATGAAGCCTTGAGCTTCTGAGCAACAAACTTCGTTGACTTATCTGATTTGATAATTGAGATGATTTTTCCAGTAAAGGCATAGCTTGAGAGTTTGTGTAGAACGCCCCTTGTCAAAAGAGTTTCAGATATCTGGGCCGACCACCCTTGCGATGGGTTCATTATCCAACACTTCACCGATTCTATACGTAATGACAGTTAATCCTGGGACTCAAGGGAAACCCATACCAATTTTCCCCCAGATGCCTGTTTCTATTGATGTGATAAACAAAATTCTTGTTGGTGATAGAGTCAAACATTTGCTGATGGCACTAAGCGGCGATTTTAAGACATTCCTGACAATACAGACGAATCGTATATACTTTAATAAGTCAAGACTCAATCCTTATTTATTCGAATAAAACAGATAAAATAATCTGGGACTGTGGGTTTCAATCCCGATCAGACGACCGGATCTGGTAGTTCTAAAAAAAAAAAAGAAAAAGAAAGAAAGAAGGAAACGCCCTATCTAAAGAATTTCGTTGTTTTTTCAAAGCATAGAATAAATCACTATTTACATTTTTCGGACTATCATCCTGATCTTTGTTGCCACATTTATCACAATATTTCGGCTGTTGTTGTACGCCCCGGTCTTCTTCAGGTGGTTGGAATGTCGAACTGAGCCCTTTAATTCGCTCTTTGAGGTCGACTGTTCTAGTTCCATGTGTCATGTCTAATGGATGTCAGTTATCAGTTATCTCCTGCAAATATCGTTGGATTCTTTTAGAGAGCTGACACAACTTAGCGTTACTCAATTCCAAATGCAAACCACAAGTTACTCAGTCGGTGATATACCATGCGTGATACATCCTTAGGCGAAAATGTCCTTTCGATACATGACTGACGAGGCAGATTTCTTTCCGCAGTAGGTAGCCATTTCTTTCTGCGGTAGACCAGTTGCCATCCAAGGCTATAGAACCTCGTGTGTCCTACTATTTACCCATAGCTGGGGAGAGAAGAAGAAGATTCATAATTTTGCAAAGGTTTTAGCGCGTAAGTGAATGTAATGGATTCAACTAGAATTCGAACTCGTCACTCCGATACTGATGCGAAAAATCAGTTAGTAAATAATAATACTAATTGAGAAATAATGATATAACTATACAAGAAAAAGAAGTCTATTTATTCCTTTATGCTGTAACTAAGATGAGTAGACCTTTGTTACAGTTTATGGGTGAGAGCGTATAATCTAACATGATCTGTAGTTAAAAAAATCGAACCATCGATCATTGTGACATCTGAATCCATGCTAGCATAACCAGTGATGGCTTTCTATCAGTCTCAAATATACAGTTTTACTCATAAAGAGTGAATCAATCGTGGTTTAGTCTACTAAGTCCGTTAAGATCAAGAAACCATCTTCTTAATAACTCGACAATACTAGGATTCGAAACTGGCTCTCAAAAAAATTAGCGTTCTATCACTAATAGAATTCCCTGTTGGTTTGGTTTGTTTTACGGCATATCAACCTCAATGGGTTATTTAATGTCGACAAAATTTTTATTGCTGGTAATCTTTTTTTTCCATCAAGAAATATATTTCTGGTAATATTTCTTTCTTCAAAAATCTATTTCAGGTAATATTTTTTCTTCAAAAATCTATTTCTGGTAATACTTATTCCTTCAAGAAATCTATTTCTGGTAATATTTTTTTCTTCAAAAATGTATAGCTGGTAATATATTTTTCTTCAAAAATGTACATCTGGTAATATTTTTTCTTCAACAATGTATAGCTGGTAATTTTTTTTCAGAAATGCATAGCTGATAATCTTTTTTCAAAAATGTATAGCTGGTTATATTTTTTTCAAAAATGTATTACTGGTAATAATGTTTTACAAAGTATGTTTGGTATTAAAATCTATTTTTACACTTTCTTAGTGTTTTGACCCCAGTTTGGGGTTTAACTCTTTGCCCATAGGTGGGACCCTAACAGGTACTATCATCCCGGGTCAGGGTGGACCTGGGAACACCAACACTTAAGAGGTGGTTCTATGCTCATCAAAACCTCTTGATCAGAGACCTTGCTGTTGGACGTAGTTTATCGTCTTACCCAGGAAGCCCGTGTAGTTTATCGTCATACTCAGGACGGAATTCCGTGTTGTTTATTACAGCATTCTATTAGTGGTCATAATAGAAGCCCTAAAATGGAATATTGTAGAAGTCTTTCAGTCAGGCGTTTGTAAAAGTTGCGAAAAGAAACTTGTGTACTCTAAATGGCTCTAAACCATTTCACTGGTAAACATTTAGCTGGAACGTAAAAAAATTATCATCGTAAAGAAAACAATTACAAAATAGTACGTGAACAAATTGTTAAAATATGCTAAAAGCAAAGATAAGGTTTGAATGGAGAACAAGGCAGATGTTTAAACATATATCAAGCATAATAGTCTTGTATACGCTTGTCAATGATAAAATCTTGCGAAATAACGTAATGATCTCGTGTTTTATTTTCTTTCTTAAACCTCCCACGCTGAAGCTACTTTGTATCTTGGAAATCATTACGCTTCCATTTGTATTAATGTTAGTTAAAAGTAAGTTTATCAAAAACAATTTTGAAGAATACGGTTGTTCTTCAAGTTGATTCTTTTCTCTCCTTGTAGCTCTTTCTAATCTTTGGTGAAATCAGTAAACAAATAACAAAACCTTGTTTTGTTTTATCGTTTTACAAAAACAATCGGAAAAGCAGAAAGAACGGAAGAAAAGCAAGAACCAAATGCAAAGAAGAAAAGAAGAAAAAAGAAAAAAAAACGAAGAAAAGAAAAAAAAAACATAATCGCCATCAAAGAAAGAAAGAAAGAAAATAAAAAAGAACAAACTAAAATGTAGAATCAAAAGCCAAGAAAGAAAGAACAGAAGAAAGAAATAAGGAAAGAAATAGAAAGACAGAAAGAACGAAAGAAAATCAAGAACATGAAGTCAAGAAAGGATGCAACAAAGGGAGAAGGAATAACAATTAAAGGAAGCATGTAAAAGAAAGTGAAAATAAAAAAAAACATGTAGAAAGGAAGGCAAGGAGTAAAAATGAAAGCAACAGAAGAAAACTAAGAAAGAAAGCAATTAGCAAAATAAAAGAAAGAAAAGAAAAAGAAGGTAGAAAGTAAGAATGGAAAGATTCAAGCTTCAAAAGCGAATGAAGAAGAAATAAAGAAAAGTAGAAAGAATGACAGAAGAAAGGAAAGAAAACTAGAATCATTTTGCAAAGAAAGAAAGAAAGAAAGAAAGAAAGAAGATCAACAATTAAAAGCATGGACGTAAAAAGTCAGACTCTAAAGAAAGAAAGAAGAAATAAATAAAAGTAGAAAGAAAGACAGAAAGTAAAAACGAAAGTTACAATGAGATGCAATTTAAAAAAGAAAGAAGAAAAATGAAAGAAAAGTAAGGCTCAAAAGAAAAAAAAAAAGAAAAAAGATGAAAGAAAAGTAATTAAAGAGATTATAAATATATAAATGCATATAGAAAGATAAAGAGAAAAATTGAATTTACATTGAATGACAAGAAAAGAAGATTAAGAATGCGAGAATCAAAAGCAAAAAGAAAGAAAAATATAAGTCAAGAACAATCAGAAATCAACAAGAATGAAGGACCGTGTAATGGAAGAAAAACAACAACAACAAAAAAAGAAAGAAAAGATGATGAAAGAAAAGGAGAAATAGCAAAAAATATATAAGGTAAAAGAAAGGAATAAATATTAAAAGGAATAAAAACAAAAACGAAACAAAGTCATGAACAAAACCACAATAATGGCGCACGCAGTGTTAATGCAATTTTTTTATCATCATGTAACGTTATTTCCGTCTGCGGCTTATGGCGAATTCATTTGAATTATTTCATCTTTTAAGACGTTCAGTCATTGTGAGTCTTTTCTAGCCTGATACATCCCATGTTTTTTTGTTTGTTTGTTTTTTTTTTAATCAAGAAACCATCACTAGATATATTGCCTCCCAAAACTAAGGCGTTTCTGTTTACCCATAAAGTTAGGACGATTTTCTGTTAGTACGACCATCGATGGCTCCTGGACAGTTTCGTCTTTCCGATTTCACTGCCAAGTGTTGGATCAAACTTAGGCAGGATTTTCTAACAGTTTCCAACGTTACCGAAGGTTGGGACCATTTCCACAGACTGATACTATCAAGAAGTTCACTTCTTTACTGACTTGGGGGAAATGCAAACCAGGGTCTCATAAATAGAATCAAACCCTTCGGCTAATTCCTTGTTCTTGATCATTTCATCTCAAGGAAGGTGATAAAGCCACTAGAACGCAGAATATCACAGGGAGTGAAATGCAATGAGAAGATTTTAGTGAGGGGACGTGAGGAAAAGGATAATAAAGGAACAGGCTTCAGGAAGACAGAAGAAGGCGATAATGCTACTAAGACGCAAGGGGGTCATTTGGAGTGAAAGAGAATGAGAAGACTTTAGATGAGGAAAATAATAATAAAGGAACAGGGTTCAGGAAGACAGAAGATCACCATTGACGTTGCATTTAAATTTTGAAGATTCTAGATGACATAGAAGTAAGAAGTTGGAATGGAATTCCACAGGCGAGAAGTGCGAAAAAAGAAACTTTTAGAATAGAAATGGTGGTTGCATTAAGACAGTTCAACTGTAAAAGGGTGAGCCCACGTTGCCAATCTAGTGCCACGTTTAAATTCATGCAGTCTAGGCACTAGCGAGAAAGATAATCAGAACGGTTGCCATGAAAATATTGGCAGAAAAAATTGAGGTAAGGTATGTTACGCTGGTGAAAACGTGAGTTAAGGCGAGATGCCAGGTCAGGGTAAGTTTGTGCATTAACATAAATTGATTTTGGGATTAGTGAGATTTAAAGGAATCTCTATCTATAAAACGCAGGATGTGTGTGAGTGTGTGTGTAACAAAATCACGGCCACAATTTTCGACGGATTTGTACCAAAATTTACATGCACATGCTCCAAGTTAGCGGGAAGGCCAAGACCGACTTTGCATTTCCCAACTTCTATCGATAGTGGAAATAATCGATATTTCATGCTTCTACGGCAGTTTTCATGTAGTTTGCGGCCCTTTTTCTACTGGCCAGAGTGAGAGCTTATAGCTGGCTGCCGCGAATAGGCAGAAAGATTCTATTGGCCAGCGTGAGAGCTAGCAGCTGACTGACACGAATGTTAACTAGCATGCTAACATGCAAAAAAAAATCGATAGCTGCATTCGTCACAAGTGGGAAAAATTTAAATCTGCATGGCACTTTACTCCAATTGGCTCATTCGCTTGCCTAAACACAACGTTGATTCTGATTCCGCAGAACTGGTTTGGGTCTGAAAAAGTATATTGTTGTAAAAATCCTTTTTTCATTCGGTTTTTCCAGTTACGAGTCCTTTTTTAAAGTTGATCGTTTTGTGTTCATTTTGTTTAGTTCTTTTTTCGTAACAGATTTAATGTTTAGTATAGAGCTTAGAAAAAATTCGCAGTGTGAGATAGGCAAGAAGTAAGGCACGTAGCAACATCAGCACGGCAAAGGGCACTCCTTTAAAGGCAAGGATGGGCAAAAATATTTTAAGTCAAGTGATAGCGATTGGTGTATGAGTCGTACGATTTTTGAATCAAGCACGGGCAACGCCGGGCCATCCTGCTAGTCCTTTATAATTATTTACTTGAACTACGAGAATCGGTTACTGCGCATGTCTACAGCAAGCTATTGCATCATTTGGACGATGCATATTGCTCTGAGCCGATGAAATTCTAGGCTAGTCTGCTGAGTTCATTTTTGCACAAATTCCTTTTGGTAAGGCATCAAGCTCAGTTATGTGTTAAATATCAGGACAGGCAGATATAATCTAGATTTGGATGGTAACCAGTCTGAAAGATTGGAAACTTTGAATACGAAACTGTGGAGAAAACAACAAGCAATCACTCCACAATCTTTTGACACCATCCAGGGCAATTCACAGATAATAAAGAAAAATATCATCTGTGGAGAAGCGTTATCACAGAGGACTTGAAGGCACATGGTATTAAATAAAAAATCTGCTGACTGGTTTGACTAATTTATCTGAGGAGCAGCGTGATGATATAAAAAATGTTTTCAAATTTTGTATCATATGAATAACATCGTGTCACAAAATCAATGATATCTATCTATCTTTCTATCTGTTCATGATGTATCTCTGCACACACACACACACACACACACACACACACACACACACACACACACATATATATATATATATATGCATATCGCTCTCTTCATTATCTATCTATATAACTATCTATGTTCATGATCTATCTATCACAAGCTAGCTATCTAGCTATCTCGTTATGTCCATTATCTATCTATCTATCTATCTATCTATCTATCTATCTATCTACCTATCTATCTATCTATCTATCTATCTATCTATCTATCTATCTCATTATGTTCATTATCTATCTATCTATCTATCTATCTGATACAACATAATTCGAAACAAAGTTGAATAGGACACAGAAGATTGTATTAATTCAATCTTGTACATGAACCTGACTACATATTTTGACATTCAGCATCCAAAGTCTTCTGAGTTAATCTGACGGGTAATGGAGCTGGGGAAAAGTACATGGCTCCCTCATTCTCTAAAAAACACACGATTCTCAAACACACGGAACTCACACACACTCACCCCAACACACACACACTATATATATATATATATATATATATATATATATATATATATATATATATATATATATATGTGTGTGTGTGTGTGTGTGTGTGTGTGTGTGTGTGTGTGTGTGTGTTCTTCAAATTCATCACAGTTGAGTTATTCTATTACATAACATTAGAGGAAAACCTCGTAAATTTTTATTTTCGTCCATCCAAACAAGATGTCGACGAAAAGCAAGCTCGATTGACTTTGTTGTAGCAATGTATACTCTAGCCATGTTTAACGAAAAACCAATGAAGCGTGCCGAGGGTCTTTCACGTAGAAAATCATTCGAATCATGCGGGCCGAACAAAATGATTTATTTTCTATTTCCAACTTGAAGCAATTGTCTGTCCCTATTAACAAAACTGTTAAAGAGTGAAAAACTATGAAGTATAATTTAATATCCTTTCCTTCATTCCTTTGAGTGTTTGCAGCCATTTCGAATCCTAATGTCAACTATTTGTGATATTCGATAGAGATGTTCGAGAAAAAAGAATGGATGTGGAAAAGACTGGATGGAAAGATAAAAACGCGTGCATAAGTTGTGCTGAATGGAAACATCAATACTTGTTGGCAAAGTTTAAACTTTCAGTCAGCCAAAAAAAAAAAAAAAAAAACTGTTTGTCAAAAAGTCAGTTTTCCCTTGACACTGTTATTACTGTATACTGCCTTCACTCCTCCGGCAATGTTTATTGTTTTATAAACTGACGATTAGAGTTTCTTAAAAAAAAACACACACACACACAAAAGTACGCTGGTGTAGGCTTTAAGAAAAGATTTAGGCTTTTAGAAAACTTAGCAACGATTTAAAAAAAAAGCGGTTTAAAATTATATTTTTTCAATAAAAATAAAAACATAAGAAAGTGGGTAACCTATAATTGCTTCAACTGAGAATACTCGTATAGTGTCCTTTTATAGTCCCAGTAAACAGAAATAGCTCTTTCAAAAATGAGAGTAAAAATCAAAAAGAGACCACTCTTCATTCTTCATAACAGCCCTATATATGAAAGTGAGTTTATATATATATATATATATATATATATATATATATTTCTTTGGTTTTTATATTTTACAACAAAAATATTAAACACTATTTATTTATAAGATTGTTTATTTATTTTGGCAATTAGGGGATGATTTGCTAAGCAATCCACAGAATACAGGTCGCCAGCTTCAACAATTGCTCAGTGTCCATTATTAATTTAAAATTTCTTCATCAGCCACTACTTGGCTGACAAGAAATAATC